TATACGTTCTTCTTATAAGTAAATAATTAAATATAAATGACATATAATTGCTTGACAGCTGAGACGTTAAATAGGAAAATAAAAAATTGGAGATTCAGCAATTAAAAATATATTTAAAACAATTGTTAATGAGGCTATATATGAGACCCACACTGCTATGCTAAAGTCAATGAGGGATTCTTCTGAGTCTACAGTACTTTTAAATTCACTTATACAAAATTTCTTACGCTTAACGTACAGAAATTTTGGTATAAATTTAAGAAACTTTTTTCATAAAATTGTTGTTAAAGATCTCTTTATTACAGTTTATTGATTACATTTGTATTCTCATAAAATCGTATATCTAGAAATAAGGACACCGTTTATGTTTAGACAAACGCTTTATTTGCCTTGCCATACGCTACGCAGCTTGAAGTGTATTAAACGTTTTAGTAAACAAAATAAATTGCCAAACAAACTTTTTGCATATTTTATATGAACCGAGGCCGGTTCATTAATTGACACGTTTGTCAAAGAAATACAAACAGAGAGAGGCAGAGGCAGAGGCAGAGAACGAGAGTGGGAGCAATGATGAGAGCAGTTAGGAGAGCAAGATTTTTAAAATGTGCATATTAAAAAAAAAAATAAAATAAAATAAAAAAAAAAACAAATGATTATATCAAAGCCGATCAGAGCTTGGTTCAACTACCTGTTTGGGGGGACTTTAAACAAGTCCCCGCCTCTGTCTCTCTCTATAGGTTTCTGCATCTCCCCCGACCACTCTTTCTCTGTGTTTGTTAAGCGGGGAATTTTTATTAGGCGAAACTAGTGTCAGCTGGCTCGTGTGCTTCATTGCGATTTCTCACCTCGTTGAGGTAACACAGCAACACACACAAAAACCACCAGCAGCGACGGCTGGTGCTGACAAATCGACGGGGGAGTCCGTATCGAATAATTTATCAATGGCTACGCGGAAGCAAAGCTGAACGCGCGATTCAACTAAGTTAAAGACAAAGTTTAGCAAACTCTTGCAATTAATGCTAACAAAGTTGGCTAACACACATACACACACACACACACGTATCCACGACTCGTCTCAGGGCGGGTGCGAAAATTGTAGCAAATAGTAAATAAACGAAATTGAAACTGAAACTGAAAACCAAGTTAAACAAGTTAACAAACAACTAATGGTAAATCTTTGCTCTACAGGTTATAGCCAACACATGCAGCCTGTCGCAACGGATGGTGTTGCGGGTGGTGCAGCAAGGAGCTCGCAGCTGTTGTCCCGCGCTGATTGGGGCGCCCGCGTGCCGAAAGAGGTGAGCTATTTCGAGGGCCCCGCACCGTATGTCATCATACATCATTCCTACATACCCGGCGCATGTGTGACGACGCCGGACTGCATGCGCAGCATGCGCGAAATGCAGGACTTCCACCAGGTGGATCGCGGCTGGAACGACATTGGCTATAGCTTTGGCATCGGCGGCGATGGTCTGATCTATACGGGACGTGGCTTCAATGTGGTGGGCGCCCATGCGCCCAAATATAATGACAAGAGCGTGGGAATTGTGCTCATTGGCGATTGGAGAAGTAAGGCGAAATACTACATTAAATATTCCAAAATTTGTACTAATCTATTCCTTTGCCCCCCCTCTCTCGCTCTCTCGAACAGCTGAGCTACCACCCGTTTCCATGTTGCAGGCTGCAAAGGATTTGATTGCTTTTGGTGTTGCCAAGGGCTACATCGATCCATCCTATAAGCTGCTCGGGCATCGTCAAGTGCGAGACACCGAATGCCCCGGTGGTCGACTGTTCCAGGAGATCTCGACGTGGCCGCACTTTACACAGCTCAACACCACCGCCGAGGTGCAGCCGGTGGCTAACAAGATTTAAGGCCACGCCCAGAAGCTACTTCAATTCAACGACAGTCTCCAGCCCGGACAGACGAAGAGACGCCTATTCACAGTATTTTATAAGAGATAGAAAGAGAAAGCGAGACAAATAAACACAACCTATTAGCATTACAATTTTCAACGACCGTTTAACGACTCATTTAATTAAAAAATTATTGGTCTGTGCAGCTCTCAATGCGCGGTTCGCGACTGCAATTTGATTGCGTTCCGCGACTACTTTCAATTAGTGCCACCTTTTATATCGATTTTTTTAATTTCATTTAAATTTTTATTTTATTTTTACGTTTCAAACTGCTGTAAATTTCTCTACACTCATCAAAATGATTTACGAACGTCCTGGCAAGTTTTCAACATGTCAGCGCAGCACAATAAAAACAGAAACCACCAAATTAAAAGTAAAAAAAAAAAAAAAACACTCAAATAAAATAAAACAAATAGACAGTAACAAAAAGTAAACAAAATAATGAAACTCGCTACCAAAGTGACTTTTAATTTCATTGATTTGTTGCTATGATTTACATGAAACGAAACTTAAATATGCGCAAAACGCAACCAAACGACCAACAAAAATGCTAGCACGGGAGTAACCAAAGGTCAGGACTGAAGAATACCTCGTATTTGATAAATGTGACATTTTATTTTTCTTTATATATAGAGTTTTAATAGTTTTTCAAAAAAATTTTAAACTGGATTAGATTTAGCTGAATAATTCCAAACATTTTAAACAATAATTTTCGGTGACTCTAACCAAAAAATAATTTAAAGGGTATGCAGAAAATAGAATGTGTATATTATTTAACTGAAATTAACTTTTTTGCTACTCCAAAAAATGCTCGCTTACTTTTTATGCGCACCATAATTGGAGCAAATAAATATATCTATCTTTTATCACATATGAAAATATATACTAAATACACAAAATATAAAAAACGTTTTATGGTTTTCTATATGTGTATGTATACTTAAAGTATATATATAGGTATATCCGCAAATATTGTAATTAAATTAAATTTAGATTAAAATGTTTTTATTACATTCGCCAAACATCATAAATATTATGCAGTTCCAGGGTATAGTTGGTAGTAAATGATTTTCTGGCCCAAGCGCAAAAGTATGCAGCGCCAATTTTGGTGCTGCGTTTAGCCCCGAAACTATGCGCACATTTATATTTATCCATATGAATATATATGTGTATATATACATACATGCACTATATGTACCATCATGCTCAACTGGGAAATTTAAAACAGAATGCAGAACAAAGAGTACGTAAATTGTTTCACGTTCGCCAGTTGAAATATATGAAACTATCTTATATTTTATGTTTCTTCCCTGTGGCAGTCGATTTACTCGTGTTTTCATTGCGTATACGCCTAGTGAAATTCAAATGCATGCAAATGACAGTGTTGAAAAACATAAAATTACCTAAAGTTTATTGTTTCACAGTAGGCAAAGCAATGTTTTCATTTGATTCTGATTTGATTTTTATGCTGTCGCTTATCTAATTTTAAATTGTGTTTCTAACAAATATAATCATTTTTGATTACAAATTACCCTTACAGCCTTGCATCCTGACCCTTCACCCTTTCAAATTTAAAATAGAAATTAATAAATTAATTATTTATAAGTACGCCATAGGAAGCGAGCGGTTGTGCGGGCGGTCGAACGTGTGTCAATTTGAATTTGCATCTATTTTAGATATTTCAGTAATTTGACACTGAAGAACGAGTGCCAGCCCGTTGAAGTTAATTGAAATTATGTGAGCTCAATTTCAGAGCCAGCGCCGTCGGAAGGTGTCTGAGTTTCCCCAATGGCATTTGCTATACATTCTCTTTGGGCTTTGTGTCGTCCCTTAGTTTCGAATGTCATGGACTCCCCACTTTTTCCCTTTGCACCTTTCCTCGCTGCATAACTCAGACTGCCGCACCTTATCACATTTTTCTACATTTACCGCATTTGGTCATTTCTTTCCTTTTCTTTTTAACGGAAATTTGGTCTTTATTTCTTCCTTTCAATCGGTTTATGGCTTGCACTTGAATTTCTTGGCCTACTTTTTTTCCATTTTCCTTTTTTTTTCTTTTCTTCAAACTTCAATTGTCTTGCTTTTTTCTTTCTTTCTWCGCGTCGATTCTTAATGTACCCCATCTTTTTAAACTATTCCCACTGCTTATCTGGCACCCCCCATCTGCTGCCTCCCACCCGCTCAATTCTTACTTGTCAACTGTTTGTCGCCTTCGGTTTTTACTGCTATTCTTGCATTAATTCACTTTATTTCAAGTTTAATTACTTTTTTCTTTTAGTACACCCAAGTCTTTCAGTAGGTTCTTAGCGCAGTTTTATGGTAGATAATTATGTCTTGGCTGCTTTTTATAGCACGCAACAACTTGTCCAGCTTAACTATCGCTTTTATATACTAATAATTTCCATATACTCATAGTTTGATTTTGGGGTCAAGAGTATGTAACTGTTTTATTTACGTATGTTTGCGAATATGTTTCTAAATTTATGTTTGAAGCAGAATATATTTTATTAGCATCATTCAACTTTTAATTACTAAAACTTCTAAAACAACATTTCTCATACTTTACGGATCTGGTCAGAGTTTTTGCATTTTCTGAGCTTCTCGCACTGGTTCACACAGCGCGAATGCAATTCAACTAATCGATATGCAATCATTTGGATACTAAAAATAAAATTTATCACGCACTAAACGATAGCAAATCGCTCAATCTCAGTCGAACGCAAATGTCAGACGCATTCAGCAGATAGAACACCGAGAATAGAGGAGTGAAACAACTGGGCGATTGCGACAATGTAAATATTGCAAAAAGAACTTCAAGAGTCCAAGAAAAGCAAACATATTTAACAGGAATACAAAAGAACAGAAGCTGAAATGGGTTTGGATTTTCTAGAAGATTGGTTTTTATCACAGGGTAAGACGCGTTACGCCCTCAACTAATAACAAAAAATAAAAAACAACAACAACAACATGTGTATACCCACCCACCTAAATAGTTTCCGTAGCAAGAAACTTGCGTAATTGAGACCCATTTAATGTGCTTAAATTAAATGATAAGCGTTTCGCCTCTGAACGTTATAAATGCAGACGCCGGCTACTCAAGCAAGACACTTGAGCTGCTACGAATATATATACACTATATATACTATATGCATACATATTCATAATTCCAGTTCCATTGAACTATGCTGCACCTGCCATAAGGTCAAAACGGCTGCGCCTCTCTCTCGGCCATCAGAGCAAATGGCTAAAAATATTTATATTTTTCGGCCAAAATAATTTTCAATTTCATTTTTTCTAAATATTTTCACGAGAGCGAGCAGAGAACTTGCGCCGAGAGCGAAATTATATTTTCTTGTTGTTGCCGTTGTTGTTGTGCTTTTCGAAAATTTCTAGCATTTAGCGTGCTGTTAAAAATACATGAATTTAGTTTTTGAAACGCCGTCATAGGCGCTGCGTGCCGAGCAAACACAATTGTAGCTAAACCGTGTCTCGTCGTATTCTGTGTTTACTTGCCCCTCTGTGCCACTGTGTGTGTGTGTCCGTGTGCAAGCGCGTGCGTGTGTGTGTACGTGTATGTGTAGGCGTTCTGTGTAATATATAGGAAAAATCTGTCTATAAACAGCCGCAACTGCACGTTGCAGCTACACTAGCCGAATCAAATAGTCAAATAAAATATTGAAAAATCATTAAAAAAAAAACAACAAAATCAAATCAAAGCAAATTATATTTATAAATAAATCTAGCGAAATGCGCAGCATGCCACAAACAGATTTGCATAGCCAATGCCTCCGATAAAACTAGACACACAAACTAACAAGAAATACCAAAAATACTGCAAATAAAAAAAATAATAATAAAAAAAATATATATACATTTATATATATATTTAAATTAAAAACAGTTTGCTGCTGAAAGATAGAAAAATAATTTAAAAATAACATTTCCTTTATATGACACATACATTCTAATTATATCCAAAATTCAACCAATTTTTCTCTCCAAAAAACTTGTTAAAAATAAATCAATATATAACATTTTCCTTTTGAATCGTATTTGAATGCAATATTGAATCAAACGTTTCTCTTAATAATGTCAAAAATATCAACTGAGTGTTATTTAAAGCAGAGCTTTTTAAATATCGTTAGCTTCCTCTTAAAATTCGACTTTTCTTAATTGCAATAAGTTTCTCACAAAATTGCTGGCCATTAGGACTTAGAGGCTTTTATGTCGCGTCGTCTATATTATTCCGCCTCTCTAATGACGGCATATTTATAAGTAAAAATTTTATATTTGCATGTCATGTTTAATTAACGCCTCCAAAAGCGAAGGCAAAACTGAAAATTTGTTGTTTTAATTTAAAAAAAGAACGAAACAAAAAATTTGCAAAAGGCCGTTGGACGAATTGGAGGAATGGAGATGAAAAAAAAAAAAAAAAAAAATGGAAAACCATGGAAACTGGCAATGGAATGAAACAAATTCACATTTCATTCTCTTCTCTGTTGCTTTTTATTTTGGATTCTCTTTTATGTGTGTGTGTATGTGTGTGTGTGAGTTTGTATATGTGTGTGCGTGCGTTTTCGTTTCATTGTATACTTTGTGAAACGAGGCAAAAGACGCAAGCGTCAGAGTCAGCACGGTTTTTTTTTTTTTTTTTTTTTTTTGAATTTTTTGATTTTTTTTTTTTTTTTTTATATTCTCCCGACGCTTTTTGCTCTCGCTGGCACAAAGAACCTAAAATTAAATATTTTCGCCTTTTACATATCGGAGAGGCACATTGGCATAGCAAATTGTTCGCTGTCATTTGTTGCCATTGCTGCTGCTGCTGTTGTTATTGTTGTTGCTATTGCAGCCTTTGTTAGATGGAATACAACTGAGTAACACACAAAACTTGTTAGAACTGGAGAGGAATTTTGCTAATTTGAACAGTTTAGACGGCGTTTGTGTCTATATGACATAAAGGCCTACATTTTGCATAGTTTTTCTTTTTCTATTTTGGCCAAAACAGATACGCTAACAGAAACAAAAAACAACAACAATAATAGTAGCAGCAGCAGCAGCAGCAAAGGCAACAAATGCGCTGCCCAGCTAATGAGCGCATGCATTTATAAATAAATTCACGAAATGAAACATACCCAAATATACACGGAATTGAGAATTGAAAATATTTTAAACAGCTGTTGCTCATCGTCCACAGTGCTGAAAATTCAAATAAATAGCACAACAGCAACAACAACAAACGAACGAAAATCAGAAGAAAAATACATATATATAAAATAAAATTTAAAAAAAAAAAAAAAAAAACACGGCAATTTAAGAAACAACTTTTGGACAAGTGTGAAGTGAGCCAAGTCTAGAGCCAGCCACGCCCTGAGCACCCCTCGCTCTGTGCTGGTGCTAATGTGCAAAGTTTTGTGTTTTCATCAACAACAACAACAACAACAAATTTACAGAAAATTATTTAAAAAGTGTGTGCAAATAGACGAACAACAATAACAACAACAACCTCTGGAGAATTAACAGAACGGAAAACAGTTGCTGGCCCCGCAATGCCCTTCGTGACACCCCGTAGCACAACAACAAGCGCTGGCAGCGCAGCTGGCGCCGGCGCCGGTGCTGGCAGCAGCACTGGCCGCACCACATTTCGCCCACCATGGGTCAAAGAGGATGCGGCAGCAGCCACAAAGCCGGCGACAACGCCTTGGGCCAAAAAGGCAGCTGCAGCTGCATCCGCCAAGGAAAATGGCGAGAAAGCAGCGCCAGCGTCAGCAACATCAACAGCCAACAGCAAAGCAAAGGCAACACCAGCATCTACAACCACAGCAACAGCAGCAGCAGCTAAGAAGACACCTGAGCCAGCGAAAAAGACACCTGAGCCGGCCAAGAAGGCAACCGTAGAGCCCGCAAAGAAGACCACAGCAGCAACGACAGCAGGGGCCAAAAAGCAAGCGGAGCCAGCGAAGAAAACCGTTGCCGAGCCGGTAAAGAAATCAGCGCCGGAGCCGGTCAAGAAAGCGAATCTGGTAACAAAGAAACCCTTGGGCAAGAAGAAGGAGCCCACACCGCCGCCCGAAAGCTCCTCAGAGGAGGAAGAAAGCGAAGAGGAGGAGGAGGAAACTGAAGAGGAAACTGAAACTGAAGAAGAGACCGAGGAGGAAGCAAGCGAAGACGAGGAAGAGGAWGACGACGATGACGACGACGACGATGACGACACCACGCTGGATGCGACGGTGCCGGAGCACGTGAAGAAGGCCGCGCAGCTGCGCCCTACGCCGATCAACAAGAAGCCGGAGGAAAGTGAGTTAACACAACGTTTCACCTTAGAGAAACCCAAATTGCGCAGCGTTGTAGTCAAGCGTGACAAATCGATGAAGAAGGTGGCGCCCGAGGATGACGACGAAGCTGTCGACGGCGAAACGGAGGAGGAGCGTGAGAGACGTTTGCGGTTCAAGCTGGAGAAACCGAAATTGAGGCATGTGAAGCGCGAGGAGAAGCCACTGCCCAGCAAGAGCACCGACAATCTGCTAAAGATCCGACCAGTTCTCAAAAAGGTACCCAAAGTTGATGAAATACTCAAAGAACCCAAAGAAGAACCCAAGCCCGAATTCAAGACCAAAACCCTGAGGAAAGCGCCCTCAATAAAGCGCGAACCGAGCATCAAAAATGGTAAGTTACGATCGTGAACCAGCGCAACAGATCGAACCGCACTACTCCGGATACTAAATACCCGATTAACAACTCTAATGGATCGCCAAAAAAAAAAAAAAAAAAAAAATGTAAAAATAAAAAAAAAAAAAAAAAAAATGCTGTAAATATGATTATGATGCTTCGCTAATTGCCTAAAAATCCAAAACAAAATAATCGCGCAGTGAGCATTTCTCAAATACTAAATAGATATAATATATGATAGAAAGTATAGAATATAATANATAAATATATCAATGAAATTGGCCGTGTGCACTTGTCGCATTGGCCTTTATATTGCCAGCCTCCGAATGTCTCATTCTCTCCCTATACCTCTCTCTCCCTCTCTCTCTCTCTCCCACATACTATCTCTCCCTCTCTCGCTCTAGCCTTATCTATAGAAAGGGGGCATTAATATGTTGGCGTAAAGACAAGGCCGACAGACGTCACTGCGAAATGAATAAAATATAAGAGACAGGCGGACATGGCAAACGTAGCGTATGAGTGATATTTTTTTGTACTTTATATGTATGTACTGCGGCAGGTATGCCTTATGAGTGTCTAGCAAATTAGGGATGGGTGCGTGACCGAAAACATATTAGTGTACACATATAGAATATACAGTCATTAATAATTTAAGCTTCATATTGACAATAGTGTATTAAAGTAATCTGAAAGAGCTTTGCTTTCTATCGTCAATAAAAAGGAAATTGACAAAACAATTTACAAACTTCCCTTGATATACTTATCTAATATGTGTTACAAGGCTTTTATTCACACGATCCGAGCTGCATGTTTGTCATTCATACCGAAGGACATTCCTGACTTCAACATATCACATCAAATATGTAGAAAAAAGAAATGTTTTGGTATGCGAAGCAAATTCAATTCTGTTTTGCAGTTTTATTATGCATGACAAAATATTTGCAGTTAGGAGACCATCTCTAGGCTAGCTACATCCTCTCTGTAGGTATGCATACCTGTTACTCATACATACATTTGTGTGTGTATGTAAATGTGCACATGGGTCCACTTAGGTCCAACTGAAAAACGCACCAAGCGGCGTTTGTATAAATATATAAATATATCTATGAGCATCGCGTAGTAGCCGTATGAATATAAGTACGAAATGGAAACATTTCATCAAAATATGTGTGCCCAAACAAAAACGACAAAGACAGACAAACAGGGAGATAGACACTGACACACACACAAAGAGAGAGAGAGAGGACTGAAAAGCAATATAAATAACATATTTTATTTATTAAATTTTTAGTGAGTGCTGTGCATTGGGTCGAAAGAGGCGCAAAACTGTTTACCCACCCACCGATCGAAAGAATAAAAATTATTAAAATTGAAAAGGCCAAGGATGAAATAGGAATTTTCCAAATAATTGAAAAGCTTGTAATATTCGAAATGCACTTTCTGGCTGCAGGCGTGCAATAATATTAATACTCAATTTGAGAATTATCACAGTGAGTTGCATAAGTTGGCAAATTGAAAAACGAAATCCCTCCCTGGAGGGGCACCAGAATATGAAGTGTAAAGCACATTAAGGGCCAGCAAACCGCAAAGGGTATCTATGGGCAAAGGTGTGCGGCGAGGGTTCGGCTAACAGCCCGGCAGCTACCATGTCCTAATCAGTGGGCAATAACGTGACCGCAAATGCGTCCTAATCTTTGTCAGGCAAACAAAAGGCAACTGTGACGGCAGGAGCGTAGCTTGAAGCAGTAAGCTTTCGGGGGTGGTGGGGAGGGTTGAAGAAGAAGGGAGAAAAGGCAAGACATGGGCAGGTCACTCAACGAAATGGTAACCGCTGTGCCCAACGTTTGTCCTTTAAAGCTGTCGCATAAAAAAAAAAAATGCCAGCAGAAAAAAGAAGTAAAAATAAATCTGTGTGAGGCTTACGACTAGCAGATACCCCTCTATCTGATCTATGTAGTATATCTTATCTGTGTATAGAGCTATAGGTAATATATATGCATGTAAATAGTAGTGCAATTGAGAACTAATATTTAGTTCTTTAATTTTGTGATAACACTGATTTCAAAATAATTTATTAGATTTATATGTCAAAAATTTGAATAAAAAGACTTGAGCTGAGCTGGATACAAAATACTTAGAGGTGCTCGAAAATCTGTGAAATTGGTTTATACTTGTTAAATATCCAAATCTCAGCTTTAGCTTATTATTCTGAAAAGCACTACGGACTAAGGAAAATCGGTATACCCAATTTCTTAACTATTTGCCATGGATATTGCGTATAAAAAGCTAAGCAAAAAAATAAATAAAAAAAATAAGGCAACAATGCAGACAGCAAAGAAAAACATTTATTTAATGTGCTCGGACGACGTCTTGGGCCGACTTTCTGGGTGTTTTCATCTCTCTTTTTATGGTCTAAGTAAAATTCATGATTATTGCTCATTGTGTCAAAACTACAACATAAAGTGGAATGTTTAAAACCAGATGAGGATAGATGAGTGGAAAAGGCACTTTCTAGATGGTTTTTGTGTTTTGTTTCTCCGAACTGCCCCTTAAAGCCGACAACTATCAATAGCAGCGCAATCGAGGGGCAGAGAGAACTGTAGCAGTTCCTACTCTTAAGGACAAAAGCTGGCCAAGATATATGGGCATGTGCTTGATATAGTCGAACTAAATGCGCCATTTATATTCAAATATACGCACTAAAAAAAAAAGGACAAAAAATGAAACAGACGAGAAAACGAACAAAATAAAAAATATATATAAAAAATTGGGCGGCTAAAAAGCCTTGGCAAATGTCTTCAAAGGACAAGCGAGTGGCCAAAAAAGAAATATGTACATATATATAAATAT